CCAGCAGCGCCTCGGGCGGCAGCGCGGCCCGCAGCCGCGCGGCGATGGCGTGCAGCAGCGCGTCGCCGGTCTCGTGGCCGAGGCTCTCGTTGACGAGCTGGAAGCGGTCCAGGTCGGCCGACAGCAGCGCGAAGCCGGGGCTGCCGGGCGCCGTCAGCTCGGACAGGCGGGCCAGCGCGGCGTGGCGGTTGGGCAGGTCGGTGAGTTCGTCGTGCAGCGCCTGGCGGCGCAGCGCCTCGGTGGCGCGCTGGCGCTCGGTGTCGTCCAGCATCAGCACGAGCAGCGCCGGGCCGCCTTCCCATTCGAGGTAGCTGGAGATGCCGCGCACGTAGATGGCGCTGCCATCGGAGCGGTAGCGCTCACCCTCCCAGGCGATCTGGCCGCTGCGCTGCTGCATGAGCTGCGCGTAGCGCGCCCGGGCACCGGCGAAATCGGTCGGCGCGAAAGCGGACTCGATGGAGCGCAGGCCGCCGATGCGGTCCAGCTTGAACATCGCCAGCGCGGCGGGGTTGGCGTAGACGGCGCGCCCGTCGCGCACGACGACCAGGCCCTGCATGGATTGCTCGTACAGCTGGCGCAGCTGCGCATTGACCTGCTCGGTCTCGTGATGCGCGCGCCGCACGGACAGCAGGATCAGCGCCATCGCCAGCGCCACGTGCACATAGGTGCCGAGGATGTGCGTGACGATGGAGCGGGCCAGCGGGTCCAGCATCGGGCCGCTGAGGTGCACCAGGCCCGACGCGATGAAGCAGGCGGCGACGAGGCGCTCGGCCCGCGCGCCGCCGCGCCACAGCCAGAACGCCGCCAGCCACGCGCCGCCGGTCAGGATGACGGCGGCCACGATGACGGCGTAGTGCTGGTCCAGCAGCGCCAGCGCCAGGATGAAGCCCAGCAGCGCGCCGAACAGCGGCGCATTGCGCGCCCAGCGCCAGGGCCGGCCGCGGTAGCGCGCGGCGCCGGCGAGTTCCAGCGCCAGCGACGCGATGATGCAGGCGGTGGCCACCGTGGCCTGGACCTTGTAGCGCACCGATTCCATGTCGGCCGGCACCAGCGCCACGCCCAGCGTCAGCCCCACGGCCAGCAGCACGTGGCTCCAACCCCAGTCGCTGATGTGCGGATGGCCGGGTTCCAGCCGTGCCAGGATCAGCAACGCCATGCCGAGCATGGCGATCAAACTGGTACTGATCAGGAGGAACCCGGTCATCGGCCCATCCTAGCGACGGCGCGTGTCTGTGCGCCATCGGTGCAAGCCTTCGTTCAGAACTCCGGTCGCACGTCACGCGTGGCCAGCGGCCAGCGGTCGCTGCGCCAGGGCGAGGCGGGCAGCCCGGCGCCATCGACGAGATTGGCGTCCAGCGGCGTGTCGGCCCAGGCGTAGCGCACCGCGAGGGGATTTTTCACCTGCGGATGCCAGACGCGGATGCGGTCGCGGCCGACGATCTCGGCCTGCGCGG